TCTGTTGTCCATCGCACAAGGTGCTTGTGCCACAGATCACAGGATCACTGAGCCACTCAAACTCCTCCACCACGTTAAGGTGGCGATTCGCGGAGGAGATTTTTTTTTATGTGGGAAACCCATAGATGGAGGGAAAACCCACAGTTGAACCCATTGGGGCGGACGTACCGGAGGGGGGCGTGGGTGTTGGGGCGCGCCAGGGGATATAATGCTATGGAAAACACTGCATATGATGTTAAGTTATATAATATTAGAAATACTAAGTATGATGCATGTTTGTTATATTAGTCCTATATTATGTTATATGAGATTAGTCCTATATAATCTTCTATGATATTAGAAATATGAAGTATAATAGTATGTTTGTTATATTAGTCCTACATAATGCTATATGATATTAGTCCTATATTATCTTGTTATTATCTATGATATTACAAATATGAAGTATGAAAATATGTTATATATATTGGCATGGCATCATTGAAACTATAGAGGGGGACATGTGTGTCAACCTTTCCTAATGCATAACTTGAAAAATCAAACCGAGATCCCAATGTCCAACGACAGACGAATGAAACTCGGTCTACCTTCACAAGTTGTCACTGTTGATTCGTCAACCCAGCCGTGGTAGTTCATCCAAACACCAGCCAAATGGTGTTCAGGGTTCAGGGTATATGCGCAGATACAGAAATCCCCTCATCTTCATCTGCAGCCTTGCATTAACCAAAGAAGGAAATGGATGAGATGAAAAAGATTCCTCATTCCTCAGAGGCCGTGCCGTGCTACTGTCCAGTCCATGAAGGTGGAAAAAAACACTTCCTGGAGCAAAGGGAATAAAATATACAATGGCAATGATATTTACGAATGAATGAGGAGGCGGTCCATGCCCGGGGTGGGGGTATTTAGCGCTGTGAAGCGCATGTGGAAGGGGAGCGGGGGTAGATGGATGAGGTAGGATGGAGTGGGAGGTGAAGGAAGGTGTTCTTACAGGTCCTGGATGGTCTCCTTTTTCTTTTCTTCTCTCTCCTATTTCTTTGTCTCCTTGTCCTGCATCTTGCGCCTCATTTTGTCCATCTCCGTCTGCCGGTCTTGCATCCGTCTCCCAAAGATGCCTCTTTTTTTTTTTTTTAAGTCGAGGCAGATGTTTTCAAGGACTGTTTTGTCGTCCTCTAATTGTTGGATCCTGGTGATAAGGATCTGATCTTCTTTGGAGATGGTATCCTCCAGTTGTTGGATCCTAGAGATCAGGCACAACTCAGTGAAATCACTGATTGTGACCATCTCGTGGTGGGTCTCCTCTTGGCTCTTTATTAAAGCAGCCAGAGAATCCCTCTGTGTCTTGAGCAGTTTTTGTTCTGCTTCCAACTGCTGCCAGGTCTCATTGTTGACCGTGAGTTCAGCACTTTTGACAGAAAGTTGTTTTGTGGTCTCGGTGAGCTTCAGAGATAAACCCTCGTTCTCCCTGATAGTCTCATCCAGAGCCTCTGTCTTGATCTTCAGCAGTTTGTGTTCTGCTTCCAACTGTTGGTTGTTGGCCTGCTGCTTGTGCAGCTTCTCTTGAAGAGAAATGTTGGTGGAGAGTAACCCTGTTACTTTAGACTCCAATAACTGTTGTTGGTCATCCAGTTTCTTGGTTGTCTTTTTCTCCAGATCTTCATATTTCTGCTGCCAGGTCTCGTTCTTGACCATGAGTTCAGCACTTTTGACAACGAGTTGTTCCGTCTCTCTGACCTTCAGAGATAAACCCTCGTTCTCCCTGATAAGGTCTGAAAACCTCTTTCTGTTCTTGTCAACCATCTGCTCATAGGCAAGATCTTTGCCTTTTAACATGTTGGTCAATTCGAACTTCACAGTTTCAGTGTGAGCGGTGAGTTCGCTCACTTGCCTTTTCAGGCAGTGCACTTCATTCCGTGCACGAGAAAGTGCAATGTTCACATTGTATCCGGTGGGAGGAGTCCCGAGAAGTGAAGCGCCAGCTCCAATTCTCTGGTTGTTTCTACGGTACATGTTAAATGACACTTGTGTAGTCTTGAAAAAGACTGTTGGTCAGCCCTGAAAAGGGGTGTAGTCTTGAAAAAGACTGTTGGTCAGCCCTGAAAAGGGGTGTAGTCTTGAAAAAGACTGTTGTTTTATTTGTCGCTAAATGACTCGATGTAACCTCTGAAAGATGGTGATGAATCTTCCAAAAAACTACTTAAGTCTGTAAAGGACAAATATCGCAGATACTTTCAAGAGAAAATATCCAACTGCACTCTTCTGGAACCAGAAACGCAATGATCTAGTGTTCCGAGACACATAAAAGGAGTTGTTGATGATGTCACAATTCCGTTGTCAGGGAAACGCAGCCCGTGTCATAGAGTGGACTCCATAACAACGGAATGGAGTCCACTCTATGACACGGACTGCGTTTCCCTGACAACGGAATGCAAAATACAACAAAACTCACTTTGTAGGTGGTTTTATATATATACACAACTTGATGATGCACGATATATAAAGTCTCATTCACCTCTGTTTCTTCCTGCACCGTGATGCCCATTTCTGAACCACGTTTTGGATGAAGAAGCACTGATATTGAGTGATACAGATCAGACCAGCGTGAAGCACCTCACCATCCCACACATGCTCCGTATGGCGCGGCATGTCTTTATATGGCGAACCTGTAAATAAAGGCACTATTTGCCGTACGGTCAGAAGTGTGTGTTTGGCGCTGAAGTCCATCTTTATTACCTTCCCTGGCCCCAGAAGAATGTGTCACATCAAAGAAGATTTCCACAAGACAGTCCACATATTCCGTGTAAATAGGTGATTGTATTTGATGTTGTGAGATGCATGTAATGGTAAAATATGTTAAAACATTGTCTTGTGCTAAACCCGGGTCTCAAGTGTCCGTATTTGACCCTGACGTGCAAAGAGCAGCATGATACAAAATGTTAGTTTGCAGCTGTGTCCTGCACAGCTGCACAAAACCAGCACAGTTAGCACATAAACACATATATAACACCAACACATAGAAAAATCATATTAAAAGCCAATAAAACAGTCTACAACTTTCCTAGCAAGTACATGTTTTTAAATCCTTTCGCATTCAGTCGGTCCACGATTGTTTGCCTGGCTTTTTCTCTTTGTTTAATTACAGTTGCAGCTCTTTATTTTCTTCCTTCTTGGCTTCAGGTGCAGTCAGGATGCAAAGCTCAACATATGTTGTCAGAATTTGCTAGTTGGTACGTTCATTATGCAGCCTGCAGAAGACTTAACGTCACGTAGTGATGGCTATAAAACATCACTAAACATAGATCCAACAATGCGGTGAGCATTACAAATCATAGTACTCTTTGCACCGCAGGCCTAAGATACTGAAATACTTTTACCGTGATCCAAATAATTGCCTATGAGAGCAACATGTAATCCAGCAATGAACACATAATCTCTTTAGTGAAACAGTGTACAACTAATCACACTTTTCAACAAAGCAATTGGTTAACCAGTATGTTCAGGCTTCATGAGCAAATACAGAATCCCTTTGTGTTCATTTCCAAAGCCACATTAAGACACACATCACTTTATTTAATACGCTGCTTGCAAGTCGCTGTGTTGTGCCAGACTCTCAATAAAACATCTAGGACAAACCCACGGTCATGAAGAGACTCATCTAACGTTACATGGACTCTGCGTGAGGAAGAGGAGGAGGAAGAGGAGGAGGCTCCGTGTCGCTAAATACTAACTTTCCACCGACCACTTTTCCCACCCGGTGTCGCTCCGATCTGCCGGCGCTCTATCATTTTGTGCTACTTGTCGAGAACTGCTTCTTTGTAGTATTGGGCATGCGCCGAGTCGATTTTCCAAGTTTCCTTGACACGCTCATAATATTTTGCAACCCTGTCGGTGAACGACGTGTTAACGGAGTAACATCCTCAAAATCCCGATTATTTCCTCTTTTGGCCAAGTTAAAAAGTACATTGAGCGTGTAGATTGTACAATGACCGTTCTCTTGAAATGAAATATTAAATAATTGCATGGACTGTGTATCCTTGCCTCCGTCTACTCTGTTGTATTATCCTGCAATGAGTAGTGGGAGCAATATTTGATAGGGTGTTATTGTGCTATCAAAATCTGCTACCCCTGAACTTTTTATAATAATCGAGTGTCTGGATGCTCAATGTTTATACTTCTCATCCAATCACATTCACTGTCCGCATAGCGCCGTTTATCTGGAGAAGCCGGAAGTAACGAGACTGTTTTTAAAATTTCAGGAGTAGAAGTAAAAAGTCGTGTGAAAAATAAACACTCCAGTAAAGTTTCTACTGATGAACTAACACTTTTCCTTCCACATTATTCATTAGTCATTATTCATTTTAATTAGTAAAAATTAGACCTATCTCTGTATTTTGTTTTGTTGACTCTGGCTGGAATGATTTAGGCCATTGTTCAAATCTCCATTTCTTTTGGATTTTCTATTTTACACAATCAAACTGTTTAAAAAAAAATCTCCCTTGTGGCCTGAGATGCCCAGGTGCAACAAATAGGTTTGTACTGAATGTTGACATGTCCGCCCTATAACACACTATCATGGCTGAAATAAAGTGATGTTACACTTTTGGGGAAATACTTATTTTGTTTGATGCCCCATGTCCTCTTACTTTGTACGACTCTAAACCAAGTTCTCTAATACTAATGAATCAAAATACACTGACATCGATAAATTGGAGATTTAGAGTGGGCAATGCACCTGACCTGCATGTCTTTGGACAGTGGGTGGAAACCTGAGAGAGGAAGAAAGCCCACTGAGCCACTTCCTCACAGAACATGAAAAACAAAATCATTGCGTGTTCGGATTTCTATCCTGTGAGAAGTTTTTTGTGACAAGAAAGCTGATTCTAACTGCACAGTTACTGCACTACAATGATTCTCTGTCACAAAGTGTCGCTGTTGACCACTAAAGCATTATGCATCGCTCTGCTGATAGTCGTGACACACCCATTACAGTGTATTGTCGGACCCGGTTTTTGGAAGACATGCCGTTTATTTTTTGATTAACAGCACGAGAGTCAGACATGTCCTAGGATTATTTCGGGATTTTTAAAATCAACCGGCATCACATTTTAACTATTTGAAATATTCTTTCAGGCAGACAAAAGGATGCATTTTTGGTCCAACGTCTTTGTCCTGTCTGCAGTATGGCCCTGCGCGCTGTCCGTGACACGGTACTCCATAGCAGAGGAGATGGAACGGGGCTCGATTGTTGCTAATCTCGCTGCTGATTTGGGACTTGAGCTTGGAGGTTTGGCCCAACGTGAGGTAAAACTTGACATTTTTCACAATAAAAAATATCTAGATGTCAATAAAAAGACAGGGGAGCTGTACATCGTGGAAAAGATGGACAGGGAGTATCTTTGTCCGGCGAAAACTACCCCCTGTTTCCTAAAGCTTGATGTCATAATTGAAAGCCCCTTACGTATCTTCAACATTGAACTTGGAATTACGGACATTAATGATAACGCTCCACATTTCCGAAGAGACAGAGTTGAGCTCGACCTCTCAGAATCGGCCACACCAGGAGAGAGATTCTCCCTGCCTAACGGCGTCGATCCAGATGTTGGCATTAATACAATCAAAACATACAGACTCAGTGACAGTGAACATTTCACCATCGAAATTCAGAAAGGCAGTGATGGGACTCAATATGTTGATTTGGTGTTGACTAAGTCTTTGGACAGAGAGGAGAAGGCTGTTCATAATTTAATACTGACTGCTGTGGACGGTGGGGTTCCCGTGCGCTCTGGCACTGCCAATATTATTGTGAGAGTACAGGATACGAACGATAATCCTCCGCGGTTTGACAAGCAGAATTACACAGTTAATATGGCAGAAAATTCCCCGATCGGAACATTAGTGACGAAGCTTAACGCTACAGATCTTGATGAGGGGGTTAATTCAGAGATAGTATACTCATTCACCCTTTACACGTCGGAAAAAACACAAGACGTATTTGAATTGAACCCCAACACGGGGGAAATAACTGTGAAGGGTACTATTGACTATGAAGACATGACATTCTATGAAATGCACATTGAGGCAAGAGACAAGGGGACGCATCCCTTGCTGGGGCGGTGTAAAGTAGTCGTCCACGTGACGGACATGAATGATAATTATCCGGAAATTACGATACAGTCTGTAAAAAATACAGTGGATGAGAACATCCCAGTTGGAAGTGTCATTGCTCTTGTGGGAATAAGTGATAGAGACACTGGCAATAATGGAAACGTCAGCTTATCTATGAGTCAGCCGATGCCATTTAGTCTTAACAAGTCATCGGAGAGACTTATGCATTATACACTTATAGTGTCTGGACCTTTGGATCGTGAATCAATACCTGAATACGACATCAAACTGGTTGTGACCGATGCAGGAACACCACCTTTGTCTGATAACGAAACAATAACAGTACATCTAATGGATGTTAATGACAACGCACCACAATTCCCACAGTCATTTTATACTATACGCGTAATGGAGAATAACGCACCTGGAGCCTTGCTCAGTTCCCTCACTGCGTTTGATCCTGACCTCCATGAGAACCAGTATCTAGTTTATTTCATCCTAGAGAAGGAGATCGCCAACACCTCCATGTCCATGCTGTTCTCCATCAATCCAGAGAACGGAAATCTTTACGCACTGAAAACATTTGACTATGAGATCGAGAATGAGTTTCTTTTCCACATCGAGGCCAGAGACTCCGGCTCTCCTCCGTTCAGCAGCAACGTGACGGTCCACATCATTATAGTGGACCAGAACGACAACGCTCCGGTTATTGTCTCTCCGTGGCGCGCGCAGGGCTCAGTGGTGGAGGAAACGATCCCCAGATCCACCGACAAAGGATCTCTGGTTGCCAAGGTGATAGCTTTAGACACCGACTCGGTGCACAACTCTCGGATTACTTACCAGTTTCTACAAGTGACTGACGCCACGTTGTTCAGTCTGGATCAATACAACGGGGAGATCCGGACTATGAGGATGTTCAGTTACAGAGACCCGCGTCACCAGCGCCTGGTTGTTGTTGCCAAGGACAACGGTGAGCCCGCCCTCTCTGCTACAGTCACCATCAAGCTGTCCACATTTGAGACCGCCGTTAATAAGGCCTACTCTGACATGACTGAGGTGCCTCTAGAATACGACATCTTCTCAGACCTGAACCTGTACTTGGTCATCGGTCTGGGCTCGGTGTCGTTTCTCCTGCTGATCACCATACTGGTCACCATCGTGCTCAAGTGTCAGACACCCAAACCCAGCAAAGCGGCTCCTCCGTGCAGAAACAGTGTCCTCAGTGAGAGGAACTCCACCATCGCAGACTCCACTCTGGTCTCCAACGACGCGTACTGGTACAGTATGTTTCTAGCAGAGACCAGGAAAGGAAAGATGGTGGTTAGACAGCCTGTGCCAAAGGGCTCCAGATACATCGTGTCCAGTTTACCAAGAGGCACCGGACTGACAGACACTAGTGACTCAGCAGCGTCCACCTTGCAGGTAAGAAGATCTAATACAAATAGGTTTTATGCAAACAAATGAAATGTGTGAAACGTTTTATTTTACCATTATTTTGGTTTGGTCCTTATCGTGGTAAATATTCCATGCATCTAAACTCTGAAACACGTATTTTCTAATGTGTTTTAATGAGACTGGTGGTAATTACATTTACTTCCAAATGTTTCATTAAATGAATGGCATGATAACGTTATCTTATAACTTCAACAAATCAGTTTTTTTTTGCACGTGGCGTCCAATTAAGTAAAAATGGATTTAGCGAGTTTGCTTTTAGTGACAAATCCAAAAAATATTCAACGAGGAGACTCATTAAATCATTTAAAATAGAGAGTAAATAGTGTGTTAACACCCCATTAATCAATATTGCATTGGTTTTACGCACACAAACCCGCGTAAAAAACAATGCGAAAGTATGACACGGTTATGTGACTTATAGATCACCTTGTAATATATTTTATTCAAAAATAATTTAATGTTCCCGCAGTTGATAGTGCGATATGCATGTTTGTTTCAATAATGTCCGTTCATTAATAATTTGTGACATTTAACTTTGTTTTGGTACAAACCTGTATGTATAGCGTTAAAATCGATGTGTCTGGTCAGTGATACAATATATAAATTCACAATGATACCATAGAAATAGTTTTTGAGGAAAATCATATTAACTTTGTTTAAAAATAATTATTATAGAGAAATCTGCAGGATGGCGCTGTTTTCTCACTAAAACACGAGCAGCCCAAGAACCCTAAATCGTTTTCACGAGGACATTGTGAAAAAAACGAACGGCTGCGTGGTGCTGAATATCCAGTCTGAAAACTGCTTGGCCTATGAGGTGGATATACATTCTCCGGATTCAAATTGTGAGAACCTGCTTGGGGGCAGTAATAGGATAGTGCGTTATTCATGGGAATGTTCGGCATTTTTAAAAAATTGATTGAAACACGATGAAAACAAAGAAGGCCGTTGTAACAATGAAGGCTAAAAGGTACGTGCTGGTCGTATTTTTTCTTTCTTTCGTTCGTAAAATATCAACTTCAGTGACTCATTATTCAATACCAGAGGAGATGAAAGAAGGATCAGTTGTAGCAAATCTCGCAACAGATCTCAGTCTGGACGTTAAAACACTGAACCAGAGGAAGATGCGTCTTGACATCATTGCAAACAAGAAATATCTGGATGTGAACAAAGAGACCGGTGAACTGTATGTTGTTGAGAAGATTGACAGAGAAAATATATGTTCTGCAAAGTCGTCTTGCTATCTTAGAGTGGAGATTATACTAGAAAGTCCACTACGAATTTTTAACATCGAAGTAGAAATATTGGATATGAATGACAACGCCCCGCAGTTCAGGAGGGACGCCATTCATTTAGATATATCTGAGGCGACGTCAAAAGGAGAGAGATTCTCTCTCAGTAATGCAGTTGATCCTGATAATGGAATCAATTCGGTGAAAACGTATCATCTAAGTGAAAGTGAGTATTTTGATATTGAAGTTCAGACAGGCAGAGAAGGGTCCAAATTTGCCAATTTAATCTTAAAAAAGACTTTAGATCGAGAGGAGTATAGTGTTCATAATTTAATACTCACAGCTGTAGATGGAGGAACACCTGCTCGTTCTGGTACAGCAAGTGTTATTGTGCGTGTTTTGGACACAAATGACAACGCGCCAAATTTTAACAAAGTTAATTACAACATAAATATAATGGAAAACTCTCCCATTGGAAGCCTCGTTATTGATCTAAATGCAACAGACTTAGATGACGGGTCAAATTCTGATATAACATACTCATATAGTTTATATACATCTGAGAAAACTCAAGACACATTTAATCTGAGTCCTTCTACGGGAGAAATTACTGTCAAAGGAATGCTAAACTATGAGGACTTGAGGATTTATGATATGGAAGTTATAGCAACTGATAAAGGAGCAAGTGCATTATCGGGACAATGTAGTATAAAAGTTCTGGTTGCAGACATGAATGACAACCATCCAGAAATATCTATTAAATCATTTCAGAGTCCAGTAAAAGAAAACATAGAATTAGAAACAGTGATCGCTGTAGTCAGTGTCAGTGATAAAGACTCAGGTGATAATGGAGTGGTTGATCTTCATATTCCAGATAATATGCCTTTCACACTGAGGGAGTCCTCTGATAACTATTATGAATTAGTTGTGTCAGAGCCTTTAGACCGTGAGAAGGCTCCAGAATATGACATCACTTTCACTGTGACAGACAGAGGTTCTCCTCCTTTATCTGACAATGAAACCATGACGTTAGAACTGCTGGATGTTAATGACAATGTTCCACAGTTCCCTCAGTCGTTTTATACTATACGCGTAATGGAGAATAACGCACCTGGAGCCTTGCTCAGCTCCCTCACTGCGTTTGATCCTGACCTCCATGAGAACCAGTATCTAGTTTATTTCATCCTAGAGAAGGAGATCGCCAACACCTCCATGTCCATGCTGTTCTCCATCAATCCAGAGAACGGAAATCTTTACGCACTGAAAACCTTTGACTATGAGATCGAGAATGAGTTTCTTTTCCACATCGAGGCCAGAGACTCCGGCTCTCCTCCACTCAGCAGCAACGTGACGGTCCACATCATTATAGTGGACCAGAACGACAACGCTCCGGTTATTGTCTCTCCGTGGCGCGCGCAGGGCTCAGTGGTGGAGGAAACGATCCCCAGATCCACCGACAAAGGATCTCTGGTTGCCAAGGTGATAGCTTTAGACACCGACTCGGTGCACAACTCTCGGATTACTTACCAGTTTCTACAAGTGACTGACGCCACGTTGTTCAGTCTGGATCAATACAACGGGGAGATCCGGACTATGAGGATGTTCAGTTACAGAGACCCGCGCCACCAGCGCCTGATTGTTGTTGCCAAGGACAACGGGGAGCCCGCCCTCTCTGCTACAGTCACCATCAAGCTGTCCACATTGGAGACTGCCGTTAATAAGGCCTACTCTGACATGACTGAGGTGCCTCTAGAATACGACATCTTCTCAGACCTGAACCTGTACTTGGTCATCGGTCTGGGCTCGGTGTCGTTTCTCCTGCTGATCACCATACTGGTCACCATCGTGCTCAAGTGTCAGACACCCAAACCCAGCAGTGCGGCTCCTCCGTGCAGGAACAGTGTCCTCAGTGAGAGGAACTCCACCATCGCAGACTCCACTCTGGTCTCCAACGACGCGTACTGGTACAGTATGTTTCTAGCGGAGACCAGGAAAGGAAAGATGGTGGTTAGACAGCCTGTGCCAAAGGGCTCCAGATACATTGTGTCCAGTTTACCAAGAGGCACAGGACTGACAAACACTAGTGACTCAGCAGCTTCCACCCTGCAGGTGAGTATCTTATATACTTTTTTGTTTTCATATTGTCCATTCATTATTATTGTTTCACTAGTTCATCTATTACTGTATAATTGTTTGGGTCCAGACATGTCCCCCAATTAACTCAAAGCGTAATAAATTAGATTATGTAGGATGATGTTACAACATTTAAATTATTAATGATACCAAAAATACGTTTTTAGGTAAATCCTACTATCCTGATGTAAAAAGAAAACTCGAAATAGCTGAAAGGTGGCGCTGTCTTGTTACTAATACACCAGCAGCCCATAAACGCCATTAAAGTGAATCGCGGTAAGAGGACAGATCGTCGCTTCTGTGGTGCCGAATCTCCAATCTGAAAACAGGCTGCTACATTCTCCGGATTAAAATTGGGAGAATATGTTTGGGAAGAAGGCTGTCGCAGGACAATCCAATATTACTAGACATGTTCGTCATTTCCTTTGAGGTGCAGTAAACCCGATGAAAACAAAGGAGTCCGTTTTAACAATGCAGGCTTGTAAAAGGTACGTGCTCGTGCTCGTTACGTTTTTTTATTTAATTCGTAATACATCGACTTCAGTGACTCATTATTCGATACCAGAGGAGATGAAAGAAGGATCAGTCGTGGCAAATCTTGCAACAGATCTCAGTCTGGACGTTAAAACACTGAACCAGAGGAAGATGCGTCTTGACATCATTGCAAACAAGAAATATCTGGATGTGAACAAAGAGACCGGCGAACTGTATGTCGTTGAGAAGATTGACAGAGAAAATATTTGTCCTGCAAAGTCGTCTTGTTATCTCAGACTGGAAATAACACTAGATAACCCAGTACGAATTTTTAACATAGAAGTAGAAATATTGGATATGAACGACAACGCACCGCAGTTTCGGCGGGACATCATTCATTTAGATATATCTGAGGCGACGTCAAAAGGAGAGAGATTCTCTCTCAGTAATGCAGTTGATCCTGATGTTGGAACAAATTCAGTGAAATCATATCATTTGAGTGATAGTGAACATTTTTTAATCGAAGTCCAGACTGGCAGAGAAGGGTCCAAATTTTCCGAATTAATATTGAAAACGGCCTTAGATCGAGAGCAGCATTCTGTTCATAATTTAATACTCACAGCTGTAGATGGAGGAACACCTGCTCGTTCTGGTACAGCAAGTGTTATTGTGCGTGTTTTGGACACAAATGACAACGCGCCAAATTTTAACAAAGTTAATTACAACATAAATATAATGGAAAACTCTCCCATTGGAAGCCTCGTTATTGATCTAAATGCAACAGACTTAGATGAGGGATCAAATTCTGATATAACATACTCATATAGTTTATATACATCTGAGAAAACTCAAGACACATTTCAACTAAATCCTTCTACTGGAGAAATTACTGTCAAAGGAATGCTAAACTATGAGGACTTGAGGATTTATGATATGGAAGTTATAGCAACTGATAAAGGAGCAAGTGCATTATCGGGACAATGTAGTATAAAAGTTCTGGTTGAAGACATGAATGACAACCATCCAGAAATATCTATTAAATCATTTCAGAGTCCAGTAAAAGAAAACATAGAATTAGAAACAGTGATCGCTGTAGTCAGTGTCAGTGATAAAGACTCAGGTGATAATGGAGTGGTTGATCTTCATATTCCAGATAATATGCCTTTCACACTGAGGGAGTCCTCTGATAACTATTATGAATTAGTTGTGTCAGAGCCTTTAGACCGTGAGAAGGCTCCAGAATATGACATCACTTTCACTGTGACAGACAGAGGTTCTCCTCCTTTATCTGACAATGAAACCATGACGTTAGAACTGCTGGATGTTAATGACAATGTTCCACAGTTCCCTCAGTCGTTTTATACTATACGCGTAATGGAGAATAACGCACCTGGAGCCTTGCTCAGTTCCCTCACTGCGTTTGATCCTGACCTCCATGAGAACCAGTATCTAGTTTATTTCATCCTAGAGAAGGAGATCGCCAACACCTCCATGTCCATGCTGTTCTCCATCAATCCAGAGAACGGAAATCTTTACGCACTGAAAACATTTGACTATGAGATCGAGAATGAGTTTCTTTTCCACATCGAGGCCAGAGACTCCGGCTCTCCTCCACTCAGCAGCAACGTGACGGTCCACATCATTATAGTGGACCAGAACGACAACGCTCCGGTTATTGTCTCTCCGTGGCGCGCGCAGGGCTCAGTGGTGGAGGAAACGATCCCCAGATCCACCGACAAAGGATCTCTGGTTGCCAAGGTGATAGCTTTAGACACCGACTCGGTGCACAACTCTCGGATTACTTACCAGTTTCTACAAGTGACTGACGCCACGTTGTTCAGTCTGGATCAATACAACGGGGAGATCCGGACTATGAGGATGTTCAGTTACAGAGACCCGCGCCACCAGCGCCTGGTTGTTGTTGCCAAGGACAACGGGGAGCCCGCCCTCTCTGCTACAGTCACCATCAAGCTGTCCACATTGGAGACTGCCGTTAATAAGGCCTACTCTGACATGACTGAGGTGCCTCTAGAATACGACATCTTCTCAGACCTGAACCTGTACTTGGTCATCGGTCTGGGCTCGGTGTCGTTTCTCCTGCTGATCACCATACTGGTCACCATCGTGCTCAAGTGTCAGACACCCAAACCCAGCAGTGCGGCTCCTCCGTGCAGGAACAGTGTCCTCAGTGAGAGGAACTCCACCATCGCAGACTCCACTCTGGTCTCCAACGATGCGTACTGGTACAGTATGTTTCTAGCAGAGACCAGGAAAGGAAAGATGGTGGTTAGACAGCCTGTGCCAAAGGGCTCCAGATACATCGTGTCCAGTTTACCAAGAGGCACAGGACTGACAAACACTAGTGACTCAGCAGCTTCCACCCTACAGGTGAGTCTAATTTAAACACATGCGTTTTAATATATTTGATTTATTAATTAAATCTTTTCTAAATATTGTACTATCTTTGACTTCGAAATGCTTAGTTTATTTACTCATAATTAGTGTCAATAATAGATTATACTGGACTGCGACAAAACATTTAAATAAACTATCATACAAAGAATTTAATTTTTGAAATACATATTCTTTTACAAAAATAATTATTCTTAAACCAAAGGGTGGTGCTGTTCTGTCGGTGAAAAAACAGCCGCCCGTAAACTCTCCGTCAGTGAGTCGTTTTCACGAGGACAGATCGTTAAACCAATGAACAAATACGTGGCGCCGAATCTCCACTCCAAGTACTGCTTGCTCCAGGAAGTGGTGATTCATTCTCTGGATCCTTATTTGTGAGAATATCCTTTGGATAAAGGACGTCGCAGCGATATTCAATATTCCCGGAAACGTTTTTCTTTTCCTTGGAGGTGCCGCAATACCGCTCCAACAACGGAGTCTTTCGTAACAATGCCGTCTTGTAAAGGGTACGTGCTGCTCTTTATTTGTCTTTCTTTCTCTCGAAATATATTGACGTTAGTGACTCATTATTCAATACCCGAGGAGATGAAAGAAGGATCAGTTATAGCGAACCTTGCTACCGATCTCAGTATGGATGTTAAAACACTGAACCAGAGGAAGATTCGTCTTGACATTATAGCAAATGAGAAATATCTGGATGTGAACAAAGAGACTGGTGAACTGTACATTGTTGAAAAAATTGACAGGGAAAATGTTTGCACAACAAAATCATTAGCGTCGTGCTATCTCAAACTGGAGATTATACTAGAAAACCCAGTACGAATTTTTAACATAGAAGTAGAAATATTGGATATGAACGACAACGCCCCACAGTTTCGGCGGGACATCATTCATTTAGATATATCTGAAGCAACGTCGAAAGGAGAGAGATTCTCTCTCAGTAATGCAGTTGATCCTGATGTCGGAATCAATTCAGTGAAAACCTACCATCTCAGTAAAAGTGAACTTTTTAATATCGAAGTTCAGACTGGTAGGGATGGCTCAAAGTTTGCTGAATTAATCTTAACAAAGACTTTAGATCGAGAGCAGCATTCTGTTCATAATTTAATACTCACAGCTGTAGATGGAGGAACACCTGCTCGTTCTGGTACAGCAAGTGTTATTGTGCGTGTTTTGGACACAAATGACAACGCGCCAAATTTTAACAAAGTTAATTACAACATAAATGTAATGGAAAACTCTCCCATTGGAAGCCTTGTTATTGATCTAAATGCAACAGACTTAGATGAGGGATCAAATTCTGATATAACATACTCATATAGTTTATATACATCTGAGAAAACTCAAGACACATTTCAACTAAATCCTTCTACTGGGGAAATTACTGTCAAAGGAATGCTAAACTATGAGGACTTGAGGATTTATGATATGGAAGTTATAGCAACTGATAAAGGAGCAAGTGCATTATCGGGACAATGTAGTATAAAAGTTCTGGTTGCAGACATGAATGACAACCATCCAGAAATATCTATTAAATCATTTCAGAGTCCAGTAAAAGAAAACATAGAATTAGAAACAGTGATCGCTGTAGTCAGTGTCAGTGATAAAGACTCAGGTGATAATGGAGTGGTTGATCTTCATATTCCAGATAATATGCCTTTCACACTGAGGGAGTCCTCTGATAACTATTATGAATTAGTTGTGTCAGAGCCTTTAGACCGTGAGAAGGCTCCAGAATATGACATCACTTTCACTGTGACAGACAGAGGTTCTCCTCCTTTATCTGACAATGAAACCATGACGTTAGAACTGCTGGATGTTAATGACAATGTTCCACAGTTCCCTCAGTCGTTTTATACTATACGCGTAATGGAGAATAACGCACCTGGAGCCTTGCTCAGCTCCCTCACTGCGTTTGATCCTGACCTCCATGAGAACCAGTATCTAGTTTATTTCATCCTAGAGAAGGAGATCGCCAACACCTCCATGTCCATGCTGTTCTCCATCAATCCAGAGAACGGAAATCTTTACGCACTGAAAACCTTTGACTATGAGATCGAGAATGAGTTTCTTTTCCACATCGAGGCCAGAGACTCCGGCTCTCCTCCGCTCAGCAGCAACGTGACGGTCCACATCATTATAGTGGACCAGAACGACAACGCTCCGGTTATTGTCTCTCCATGGCGCGCGCAGGGCTCAGTGGTGGAGGAAACGATCCCCAGATCCACCGACAAAGGATCTCTGGTTGCCAAGGTGATAGCTTTAGACACCGACTCGGTGCACAACTCTCGGATTACTTACCAGTTTCTACAAGTGACTGACGCCACGTTGTTCAGTCTGGATCAATACAACGGGGAGATCCGGACTATGAGGATGTTCAGTTACAGAGACCCGCGCCACCAGCGCCTGGTTGTTGTTGCCAAGGACAACGGGGAGCCCGCCCTCTCTGCTACAGTCACCATCAAGCTGTCCACATTGGAGACTGCCGTTAATAAGGCCTACTCTGACATGACTGAGGTGCCTCTAGAATACGACATCTTCTCAGACCTGAACCTGTACTTGGTCATCGGTCTGGGCTCGGTGTCGTTTCTCCTGCTGATCACCATACTGGTCACCATCGTGCTCAAGTGTCAGACACCCAAACCCAGCAGTGCGGCTCCTCCGTGCAGGAACAGTGTGCTCAGTGAGAGGAACTCCACCATCGCAGACTCCACTCTGGTCTCCAACGATGCGTACTGGTACAGTATGTTTCTAGCGGAGACCAGGAAAGGAAAGATGGTGGTTAGACAGCCTGTGCCAAAGGGCTCCAGATACATCGTGTCCAGTTTACCAAGAGGCACAGGACTGACAAACACTAGTGACTCAGCAGCTTCCACCCTGCAGGTATGGCAAACAGAATGATTTTTACACACAGATCCACTTTGTCCATCAAGTCCACTACGGGACCATTTCAGTCATAAACCGGTTATATCAACATTCAAGAATTTGACTTGCCACTTCACTCATGTCAAGATACTTGACTTGAAATAAAAAATGGATCACAAGTAAAAAGTTGCATATTAAGAAATCGTTGGATAGGAATTTCTTTAGTTTTTTCAAAAATCTTAGTCGTATTAAATACAATCTAACAATTCTTTTTTTGAATAATCTATACTTTTATTTTCTTCATGTATTGTTATAGAGTTGCCATTACGTGATACACACGCTAAGTACCTGGAGGAAAAAAAGAGTCGAGATGTGGGGCGACAAAATGTTTTATTTGGAAAAAGAAAGTTACCACGCCACATTAAACCATAATAAATATCAGCTTAACAACCTTAAGACAATACTCAAGTCACGTTGATCAGTTACTGAAGCAGAGACATGTTCATAATAATTAACCAAAGATTTTATTTAAGAATCAAAAGGAATAAGTTTGCAGGGACATAGGAAATAACCAAAAACCAGCATCCTATATAATTTTTTACTATGTTTTAATTAAAAAAGGCCTTACTCAAGTCCTGCAACTAAACTAAATACATGGTCTAAGGCAGTGGTTCTCAACTGGTCTGGCTCCGGGACCCACCATCACCCCTTAATGACAAGCTGCGACCCAAATCGAGGAACATTCTCAACTTTTCAAATGTATTTAATGGAAATATGGTTCAGTTTGAACCATAGATCGTATGGAGACAGAATATGTATGCCAACACAAAAACAAGTTTAATGAAAAAACAAAACAGCCAGCTGTTAATTCAAATTTTTATTTTCCCAGCCAAAAGCCAGCGACCCATTAAAAACAGGTCCCACCAGTTGAGAATCACTGGTCTAAGGGAAGCAGACTTGGGAGAGCCCAGGTGTGACAATCTGCTCAGGTGCAACACAGCAATCCACATTCCAAATGGTGCTTTCCAGGCGCTTACTCTAACATTTATGCACGCATGCAATAGGGGAACCTCACCATAGGTGCTGAGCCTCCCAACATTAACGCTCTATGAGTCCTTAAGAAAACAAAACTAAAAGACGTTTAAGACAATAAAACAAACAAACAGTTGGTTTGACACTGTACAATGTACATGAACACAATCATAGAGAAACAGGTAAGACAGACAGAAAAACTTAACCAGGCAAAACAGCAGCAGTTATCTTCTAAACTAGGGAAACAGGTCCAAAAGGGCATGAGGTCACAGCAGCAGGTACTGCTATCACCAAATAGGCACCATTCTGAGAGCTATGTTAACAAACCCCTTCATACAAACATTATATTAAATGACAAGTCAAGGTCAAGGGAAGATATTACTAATGACACATGGACTTGTTTAATACCATCACATCTTGCAGAGCCTTTATGACCAGAAAATCCATGGTGTAATATTTGAGGATGAAAAAAAGCGGATAGCATTACCTTTATATCAGCATATACGTGTGCGGAAAACTAGAAGACAAAACGTTTATGAATAAATGTAAACATATCTATGACAAAACCAGAACGATCGCTTTCCACATTTAGGAACCAGAAATTGAAACTTTTACTACACTTATTTCCAGTTTACTTACTTCTCAAAACGCTCGCACCCTTTCCTAGTTTAAAAAAAAATACATTTTAACAAGCGCCAACGCTCACACTGGAACATTTTTGTCGCTGCCCTGCCCCAAAAAATCTTCATTGATGAGGTCATCGTTCTCACGACAGTTTATTGGAGCAGAAGCAGTTAGTGTGTCATGCGCGTCACTTCTGTGCACGCGCGCTGAAACATTTTTTTTTGAAGACCCTCGTTCCGTTTTTCTGTTGACGAAGAAGTCGGTTCATGCGCATTTCATCGCGTTTCAATAAGGAATCTACACGATGGCGCATCGTATCGGACGTTTATTCGGGGGACGGTACGTTTCCGCATTCCTCTTCCTCTCCGCAACGATATACACGGCGTCATCCGTGACCCATTACTCTGTTCCCGAAGAAATGGAGGAAGGCTCTGTCGTTGCTAATTTAGCAACCGATTTAAGATTGGACGTAAAGACGCTGAAGGGAAGAAAAATGCGCGTCGACGTTGTGGGCAACAAAAAATATCTTGACATCAACAAAGACACGGGCGAGCTGTTTATCTTTGAGAGGATAGACAGGGAAGTTCTGTGCCCCTTAAAAACAACTACATACTGCTTCCTCAAATTAGATGCCGCGATTGAAAATCCAATACGAATGTTTAATATCGAGGTCGAAATTTTGGATATTAACGACAACGCTCCTCATTTTCGGAGAGGAACGATGCACTTGGATATTTCTGAATCGAGTCCCGTTGGGGAAAGATTCTCATTGAATAACGCTGCGGACCCAGATGTTGGAACAAATTCTGTGAAAGATTACCATCTGAGCTCAAGTGAACATTTTGCACTCGAGATCCAGACCGGAAGAGATGGCTCAAAGTTTGCTGATTTAATACTGAAAAAGTCGTTAGATCGAGAGAAGCAGGCTATTCATAATCTAATTCTCACTGCTGTGGACGGTGGAGTGCCCACGCGCACAGGCACAGCCAGCATAATTGTTCGCGTGCTTGATGTGAACGACAACGCCCCTTCATTTGACAAAGATAAATATATTCTAGATGTGATGGAAAACTCCCCCATCGGCACTCTAGTAGTGAAGCTTAACGCCTCCGATTTAGATGAAGGTTCAAATTCTGCCATTGTTTATTCATACAGTTTATATACGTCAGAGAGAACTCAGCAGGTGTTTAACTTGAATCCAGAGAATGGTGAAATTAGAGTGAAGGAGATGATAAATTATGAAGATTTTAAGCATTATGAAATGGAGGTTATTGCCAGCGATAAGGGTCCTAACTCCTTGTCTGGACAGTGTAAACTGTCAATTCAGGTGACAGATATGAATGACAATCATCCAGAAATATCTATTAAATCATTTCAGAGTCCAGTAAAAGAAAACATAGATTTAGACACAGTGATCGCTGTAGTCAGTGTCAGTGATAAAGACTCAGGTGATAATGGAGTGGTTGATCTTCATATTCCAGATAATATGCCTTTCACACTGAGGGAGTCCTCTGATAACTATTATGAATTAGTTGTGTCAGAGCCTTTAGACCGTGAGAAGGCTCCAGAATATGACATCTCTTTCACTGTGACAGACAGAGGTTCTCCTCCTTTATCTGACAATGAAACCATGACGTTAGAACTGCTGGATGTTAATGACAATGTTCCACAGTTCCCTCAGTCGTTTTATACTATACGCGTAATGGAGAATAACGCACCTGGAGCCTTGCTCAGTTCCCTCACTGCGTTTGATCCTGACCTCCACGAGAACCAGTATCTAGTTTATTTCATCCTAGAGAAGGAGATCGCCAACACCTCCATGTCCATGCTGTTCTCCATCAATCCAGAGAACGGAAATCTTTACGCACTGAAAACCTTTGACTATGAGATCGAGAATGAGTTTCTTTTCCACATCGAGGCCAGAGACTCCGGCTCTCCTCCGCTCAGCAGCAACGTGACGGTCCACATCATTATAGTGGACCAGAACGACAACGCTCCGGTTATTGTCTCTCCATGGCGCGCGCAGGGCTCAGTGGTGGAGGAAACGATCCCCAGATCCACCGACAAAGGATCTCTGGTTGCCAAGGTGATAGCTTTAGACACCGACTCGGTGCACAACTCTCGGATTACTTACCAGTTTCTACAAGTGACTGACGCCACGTTGTTCAGTCTGGATCAATACAACGGGGAGATCCGGACTATGAGGATGTTCAGTTACAGAGACCCGCGTCACCAGCGCCTGATAGTTGTTGCCAAGGACAACGGGGAGCCCGCCCTCTCTGCTACAGTCACCATCAAGCTGTCCACATTGGAGACTGCCGTTAATAAGGCCTACTCTGACATGACTGAGGTGCCTCTAGAATACGACATCTTCTCAGACCTGAACCTGTACTTGGTCATCGGTCTGGGCTCGGTGTCGTTTCTCCTGCTGATCACCATACTGGTCACCATCGTGCTCAAGTGTCAGACACCCAAACCCAGCAGTGCGGCTCCTCCGTGCAGGAACAGTGTGCTCAGTGAGAGGAACTCCACCATCGCAGACTCCACTCTGGTCTCCAACGATGCGTACTGGTACAGTATGTTTCTAGCAGAGACCAGGAAAGGAAAGATGGTGGTTAGACAGCCTGTGCCAAAGGGCTCCAGATACATCGTGTCCAGTTTACCAAGAGGCACAGGACTGACAGACACTAGTGACTCAGCAGCCTCCACCCTGCAGGTATATATGGCAGCTCCCCTTACCGCATTTTATATAAACCTTAATTTCTTTTTTATTCAGAGTAAAAAACACCTAGCAAACTTTTATTGCAGTTCACACTAATATTTCAATAAGTTACATTTTCTAGCTGAAGTGTAATTGCAATTTTTTTGCACTTAATAGTATCTCAGGCAAGTAAAAGTGATATCAAAAGGCAATATTCACCAAGATAAAGACAATACATTTTGTGTTTTCAATCAATCTATAATTTAATTCAACAATATTTTAATGTACTATATAACAAAGATTCCAAAAACAACAACCAAATCACTTTATCAGTGTAAAATCAATGCACAGTAGAATCAGCTAAATTGGAAACAAAAATTAACTTTTATATTGCAGATTTAATTAGATTGCAGAAATCCTCATTTTGACAAAAAAATATGAAATGCAAAAATGATACAAAGAAAAGAATATATTTCCGCCGTTTGCATCTAAACTGTTGTGGTTATTTTAGAGAGCAGCACCTTTTTTTTCTCCTTCAAAACCGTTTCAGTCAAACCATCAGGTTGTTTCCTGTTTATTAGTGGGACCGTTGTGTCTTGATTGTTTTTGTCTCTTCAAATGAAAACTCAATCAGGTACGTATCTGAAATGAAAATGCTGAACACACTGCTTCAACTTCTGTCTTCTCCCCTGGACCAATGCCATTTTATTATTTCATGTATATATGTAAACACATTTATCATCACACCATCTATCAATCTAAGATGGTAAGTATGCTGCTGTAAGAACAAACAACATTTCAGCTCAATATAAAATTGTTTAAACCCACGTTCATAGAATGGATTGTAACAAGCTGCAACATCTGTTAAGGGTCACATCAACCATGCTTATTAGTCTGTGGTATTTCTAAATGAACATTTTAATTGATGGTGCCTCGACACTCTCAATCATAGGATACATACACAAATAACCCTTCCATGTCTTGCAATAACCTGATCATTAAATTGCTTGTTTTTTTTCTCCCCGCTCTTAAGTACCCTAAATGAGGAATGTCCGCACTGCAGTTGGAGGTATGCAGGAGTCTCTCTCCCCCACCCTGGATGCCCTTTTATGAATGATTTTACACCACTTAGTGATTTTTTTTTTGTGCGCAGTGGATCCTTTGCTAAAGTATTTCGTCTTGTGTAGTATCTTTTGGAGAGAATTTGTTTTAATGCAAATGTTGAGTCAGTATAACTAATATGAGGCTGTGTAAACTCCTCATCACTCAAGTCCTCTAAAATCTGTGTATGCAATTCAACTATCGGTGGAGTAAATACTACTTTTTTGTTTTCGTGACTATGATCCTACTCAAAACCTAAAAATCTAAAGCTAATGATTGTATTGACCACAGGAGGAAAAAAACATTAGGTCATACAAATCACAATGATAACATGACGAGTCTGACAAAATAATATGAACATACTGCACAGCCTTAAGGTCAGTGATCAGTTATGAAATGTTTCCAATTCAAGGCGTTACCTTTTTCCCAATCTGACTTTTACTGTTAATGCTCAGTTCACACACACCAAGAGAAAATATTGATATGTTGTTCATTAAATCACAGTTTTTAAGAAGGTCCTGTGCATGATTAAAAAGTGTTCATCCAATACTAACCTAGTCCATCATGTCCAGACTGTGTTGTTGATGTATCACTGGGTTAGTTACTGTAAATGGATTGAATGTAAATTACTTCAGAGAATGACAATTTACTGTCTGCTGTAGTGCAAATTGTGACCTAATTCTTTGTGCAGGAGAGACGGAATCCAGTCACCCTGTTACCTAGCAACCGCTCTCCTTCACATAACATTGGAGCATGGTATTCATAGACCTGCCACCTCACCACTACATGATCAAGGATCTGCCCAATCCCTCCACCCCCTCTGTCCTCTGCCTGAAGCCCCTGTCTGTGTGACAGGCTTTGGCTGCATGAGATGTGTAATTTTGTCCAGTCATATGGCTGTCAGTGCTGTGGTTTTTTTCCAATATTTATCTAATTGTTTTGTCTCATTGGCAGGCATCCAGCAGCAGCAGCAGTTCCACATAAGACCCGATCTGAAGCTGTGTCCTCGTTTGAATCTGATAGGAAAGCTTCCCGGATGACAGAAGAGACCCCTTCTCATGAATGGCCCCACATCCACCCCACTCAGTCTGACCCTTGCTTCTCACAATGTGCAGTTGTAATGCCATAACACCAAATGGACTACGGTGGCTAATTAAGGACGGAGCCCTCTCCCTTATCTTTCTTTAAGCACATGAAAAGCCAATCAACAATCTATTTTCACCGTTTAATATGCACGATAAGACTGCATGACTTCAGCGTCACTCCAAGACCATCGTACATTGAAAAAGAAATCTAGAGGAGATACTTGAAAGGTTTTGAATTTGCAAATTGAAGAAGCCTCAACAAGGACTACCAGACTGGACACAGACATGTTGAAATGCCTTTAAGAGATCGATTTCCTCTTTATACATGAAAGACATTTTGATTACATTATTAACCTCTGTGCTTTAGCTTGGCCCATAACAGCATCAATCTATAATAAACAAGTTAAATAAGTGAAACAGCACAAAAAAAGAGAGCACCGACATCTACTTCTGTGTGAAACAAAAGGAAATCTGTATTTTATAGATGTTGTAGCTTTTAGTAGTTTTGTGTTTTGTACTTGACGTTGTGCTTTATATGTAAGCTAGGGCTAAACATGAACGTGATTCAAACAGACTAAATTGAGGCCTTCAGCCATTATGTATCTGCCTTTCACTTGTTTGTGCATGGGATAATCAAGTGCTTTGATAGCTTAAGATGTTTCATGGTATTGAGCAATTCAATTTCTGTAGTTAGGCCTCTCTGTTTAAGTCATTTTCAAAACAATGATGAGAACACAATGAAGAAGTGCAACAGCATATTACTTTTCCGTGGATCAAAGGTGCAGTGTACTCTCATCCCAAATTTGCATAGTGTGCTTGAATGTTACGTTCACTTTGACATGACCAGAGAACAAGACTGGTTGATCTGAACACAAGTGCATGCTGTGAGTGGAGAGTGTCGTGAGAATGGACTGATGTCTACTCATGACTGCTGGGAAATATATCACAAACATGACCACGTACTTTCACCTTCTATATTTACAATGCCAAACTCTGAATGCTGTTTCATTTCAATGTCTTCTAATATTGTGTGAAAAGATCAAAACTCAAATACCAACTTAGTGTTAACTTTAATAACGAATACTGCTTTCAACCAATGCAAGCTGTGCTCATCTGTAATAATGACTACTGTATGTATCTGCAAATTCAACACAAAGAGGAATACAAATAAGGCTAATGTACAGTATAGAGTAGCATGCATTGGTTTCTATAAATATGCCTTTATTTGTCAATAACACAAAAACATTGGAACTCCTGGGCCGTCAGACGTATGGGCCACGAGAATGATCAGACATCATGGAGTCAAACTCTTTAGCACAGCTCACATTGCATTACTTATATAACGTCTTTTACAGTAATCTTTTACGGTCAAATGTATACATGAAGTGCTGTTGTACAGTGGTACTTTTATCGTGCAATCTATAGTTCGGTGTATTAAGTGAGCTTATTGTATTCTACGTCTGTATGATCTATTAACTACAAAGACAAATTAATACATTAAACTCAATGATTGAACTTGTGAAACTCGTGAGTTTTGCCGACAATATACTGCTGCGTTATTTTAAAAATACTTTTACTTTCCGGTTCACAAAGGCAGGTAATCCGTCAACAAATATAGAATTTACATTTCTGATGAGAACAGGTCAAAGCAATGCAGTTAATTTGAATTTAAATGTTTGCTGATATAAAGGAGTTAAAGTCAACTGGTCAGCTGTAGAAGATTGAGTTCTGACAGAATCGTCTGCTGGTGTCAAATATAAAAATATTGAAATGTCAAACATTTCACCTTGCAAAATGTTTTTTTGTTTATACCAAAGGACGAGTTTTTGTATGGGTCTGTATCAGGTTTTAACCGATAATGTTCCATACCATTTTAATTTGTTACTCCATCATCAGAGAATGTGATAAATTGCAGTTTTCAAACTATCAGAGTATAATTTCAACCTTAGAAAGAGAGCCAATTCTTGCACACAGAACTGGCAGAATGCAAATAATGTTTTGGTCTCTGTCCCGTGTTCTCCGCACAGAAAGGGCAACCCGGCATACATACAACATTACTCAGGATTCCTCATTTGTTTGTTTATTTTGTTCAAAAGGGAACCAGGTAATAAACCTGGAATAATAACAAATGCAACGTTTCAATTTCCATGTGCATAGTACAACCAACACAGCTCCCCAGTTCTTTATCTCAATAACATTATTCAAAATACAAATAAACATTATTAATATACTATAATAACAATAATAATAATCCACCATCATCATAGTTTCATTATTTGCATGTACATTCAAACATTATGCGCCACATTCACAATGCATGCAGTCTTTCCTTAGCAGGAAACTACCGCTGGAAACTACAACTCCCAGAATGCCCCACGGCAAACCAGGAAGTACCTACGTTACATATCAGTCCGCGTTTCATACTTTAAACATATAAAGCTAAAGAAAGTAAACACAGCAGCAACATATTATGGCAACATCAGACAACATGAAGCGTACATCATAAAGTAGACAAGAAAACATTGGACATTAAGAGAGCTTACCAAGTGGCTGCACACGGGGTTGAAAGTCATTACAAACTAAGTGAATCTCGCGCTTCCTTACACGTAGTAAACACCGGTCACATGTCCTCACAGCACACTCCTCTCTTAAAGGGGCACTACACTATTGCGCTGCTAAACCTCAGAGTTTCTCCATAAGTGTTACTGGCATTTATATGCATAGCTCTGGCAGGTAAACATTTGATCACACATGTAAATAAGAAATAACAAAACTTCACAAATTACAAAACTCCACAGAAAACACAACATTCTCTTAATTCTTGAGTGACAGGCCCTTCTGACTATGCTCCTTGGTAGCAGTTCTGTCTTCAAAATAGAAAATTATAATCACTAATCACGACTGGACTGGAGTTTTAAAGTTTTGCCTCAACTGTCCATGATGTCCTTTGAAATTACCATGGAATAGTTGTTTTTTTGTTTTCATCATTACTATTACTGAAACAGTCTTGATATGGCAACCAAATCTGAGCAATGACCTGAAATATTGTGTGTGTACGCATGTTTACAAGACTGTTTCCGCAACAATCTTTCTGGACTTTTCTACAAACAATGTAAGTATTGACCTTTCAAATGAAACGTTCAGTGTTTCATGATACATTTTATTACACATAAAGGGTAAAGACAAATGGGAATCTATAACATACTAACAGTAATAGTAATAATGTAATATTCAGCAATGTTTTACTGACGTGCATTGTTGAAAGGCTGCATCCTAAAATACTGAATTCAAAGGGCAGGATGATATTGACACAAAACCTCCCAGAGAAGTTCAATGATTATTCCAGGTTAGCATGTGAATAGATCGAACGGACTCTATGCAAGCTGAAAATTCAGTTTTTACTTCCACCTAACAATTAAAGGCATTGCAGTAGCATGGCAGTTATCGCAGTTAAGTGCAGCAAACCTGCAAAAATGCCTGAATTGATGAGAGTGTCTGAAATAAATAGCAAACACTTAAAACAATTGTCAGTAAAATTCAGCCCACAGATGATGTATGATAATGATTCACCGGGCATTCAAATAATCATAGTTGTCACGGTTTGGGTTTGTTTCCTGTTTTATTTTGTAGTTTTCTGCCTCTTGTGTCCCTGTAACTTCACTTCCTGCCTTGTCCTGTCATCCCCTGTGATTGTCTGATTTTTTCCACCTGTGTCCAATCACCTGCACCTTCCCAGTGTATTTAAGCCATGTGTGTCTCTTGTCCCTTGTCGCGGCATTGTTGAATGTCAGATGTAGTGTCTGCATGTTTGTGGAGCCTGTGGTGTTTCGTTCCTGGTCCCTGCCTGCATTTTTGCCCCTTGGCATTTTTTTGTCTTTGAAATTTTGACCATTAAAGTCTTTTTGTTGTTTTCCCAAAACAATAACATTCTCCATATTCTACACTTTCTTGATTATTTACAGAATGATGAACCTGATAAGCATGCTTGGCCTGCCTGCCCTTCAAAAAACAGACTGAGAACAAGTCTGCTGCTGTACCGGTCGAAAGTATTATGTCTAACAAATTTACAAATAATTATCTCTTTTCATTACTCAAATTCAATTTTAGGCATGTGACCTAGTGAAGATTAGAAGACTCTGCATACAAAGTTTTGAAATGTTCAAAAAAGCGTATTCCGTCTTTAATAGTTGTTTTTTATCACCCTACTGCTTGTCCTTTTTCAAACGCAGCAGGAAAACGTGAAAAATACGTGTGTCTAAAAACAGGAGGGAGAGGCATGGCAATACATAAAGGTTCTGTCTGGACTGTCTTCACTGATCAAAGTCAGCACAATCCACGCACCGTGAGAACATCGGGGCCAGCTTTACCCTAAAAAAACTCAACTGACACTCTAAATAGTCAAATGAATAGCGCTGGAGGCTACATGTTCTATTTGGTGCAGATATGAATTAATAAAACGATTATAGGCAGCTTTTGTTAAGTGTTAACTCAGTTTATTTTGTTTTCCAGAAAGGGTGTGTGCAAGTCTCTGCATTTGCATGTGCACACACACATGACATCTCCCCAGAGAGATGAGATCATGTAATGATCTTTATGAACGCAGGATGAGTTATTTTCAGAAATGAATCCACTATACCCTTACATTTTAGAAGCACTTAAGAGGCGTTTGTCATTGCAATGTTTAACTAAAAGGTTTTTTTATGGGGTCTAAATTCAGATAATCTTATTTGTTTAAACCGTGTGGCAGCTTGAGATCAGATACATTTTCAGTCTTGTCGGCTCTTTACCCTGAGAGGAGACTCTCACGGTGTCTGCTGCTGGAGTCCACTGGCAGACTAGATCACTGATACACGTTTTTTCATAGCACCAATAAGGAACAAAGCAGAGCCACCACCAGCGGTCACTAGTACACTAACCCAGCGACCCCCAACCACCAGGCCCTTCACCGGTATTGGTCTGACAGTCCTATACACTGGTACTGGAACCCACGGCAGACATGAAACCAGTCCGTGAGGGAAAAAAGGTTGGGTACCGCTGCACGAATGCATATCCTACAGCCCGGATGTGATTTCTGTACAATGTAAAACTGGCTAACTGTCTAATTATAATTATTGCATAATTTGGAATACTGAAGAAAAACATGATTTTAAGAGTAATATTTCCTACACTCTGGGTTGTTTTACATTGTTGCATTCATTACAAAATTATTATTTTGAGTAATAGTGCTAAGAGAGATATGTTTTAGCTAATGCACAGCATCAGGGGATGGGGAAACGAGGCACTCTCTTTGTCTGCAGCTTTCGCACAGATCCTGCATCCCTCCCCCTCTGCTTCCTTCCTTCCTCGGCGCTGCTTGCTTTCAGCACTATGGACAGTTACCAGCCCTTTGGTGCTGCGTTGCCGTGGCAACTGGCTGTCTTTTCGCCGGAGGTCGCGGCGAGCACTGAAGCTGCCTGTAATTTATTATTCTGACATGGCGCCACTCCCTCTGCGACCCCCCCCCCCCCCCTCCTCCTCCGCACACACAACCCAGCCCTGTTTTAAAGTCACAATGCAGCAACCGCAGAAAGCAGACGTCAGATCATCGTTCTCTGTTAAATATTACCGATTAATCAGCCTACCAAGGCCTGGTCATAACACCAATGAGGTTCATAGAAACATGCTTGTACCCCAAAGCAGCATGGTGAAAATGACGGCAGAAGAAAGAGGGAGAAGGTGTCGCACAATGCGACAGTGCTCGTGCACTTGGCCTAATTCCAAACCAGTAGCTCCCGTAGAATGTTGAATGTGGTGCGGATTTTTTTTCCTTTGATTTCGTATACCCCCCTAAAGTTCCTTGCAACCGTTAGTGTGATTATAATCTGAAATCTTCTATCATGGTTTATTCTGCGCAGACCCACTGCGGCAGAATGGAGCACCATTTGGAGAAGATACACATGTGGGCTCGTCATAGTTGCATCTGCAGGTTCAATCCATGAGATGTCACTGCTCACCTCTTCATAGGATAACGATAGTGGGAGTGTGCTGCAGATCATATTTACACAGAGATAATGAATGTGAGAACTTTTACTTTCCCAATAGACAGAAATACCTTCTTCTCACTGTCTTGAATGATGACCTAATTCTTTAAAAGATATTTCATGGATTATTTAAGCGTTCAAGTGGTACATTTTCAATGAATTAATTGTACGTATTTGCTTGCTATATATCTGAGGTGAAAATATGAATACATTGTCCTTTCAACATTAATGCGACCCGTGCCCTTTTTAAAAAGAAGTCAGTCAAGTGACTGATTTTTGTTGCTGCTCAAATATGGAGATATTACCTTTTTGAAAATACACTTATGGGACTTTTGCATTTGAGAAATCTCTAAATTTGTACAGTAAAAATATTTCATTTCTGTATCATTGTCAGAGAGGTCTTTAACACATGTACTTCGTTGTTGCAATCATGCAATTTGACATGGAAATGCTGCTATATTTGTTAGGATAGTGATGACCTTCCGGACATGTTACCCCTTCACGGGGAACAGGGATCGCAGAAGATGGTGTGGCCTCTCCTCATTCACTCTACCTTAAGGCTAAAACTACTGCCATCATTTTGGATGGAACTGCCATGTGCCTATAATCTTTGGGCTTTGTTTACACCCTGAATATGGAGTACCCTCAGCAGCTGAGGAACACCTTTGAGTTTATTAAGTGCTTCTCTCACTTGGACCAAAGTCCTCAAAAACCTGCAGTGAGGGACAGTCTTCATGATGTGCATGGTCTGTGACATGCTGGGTCAGACCCAAGAACTTACTCGTTATGGAAAATATATTATTTTTGGTCCTGTCCAGTTGACTATTGCTTTTGTTTATTGTTACAGTCCAAAGAGATCTTCAAAATGCATTTCACCATTTCATGATGCAAGGCATTCTCATACTGTGGGTAATGGCACGTTATTTTTAATTTAAGACTTTCTTTGTAAAAATTCCGTTCATTTTCGTATGTGAATACTGTGACCACCTGGCATGATACCGGTCTGGTCTTTATGTTTGAGTTCTGTTGTTTTGTGTTTACTGCCACATACTGATACTTCCACATTGCATTGTTTGATTGCTTTTGCTAACAATTAATTGTTTCCTCTTAGCTCACTCGTTGGTCTCCCTGCAGCAGCCAGGCTGTGACAAAAAAGACCAAATTAGCATTTTTTAAATTCTTTATTATGTGAGAAATACTGTTCAATAGCAAATGTTTATGAATTTGAGGTATATTCCTTTAGTTATTTATACTCAATGAATTTGAAATATTTGTAAGTGTTGAGTCACTTCTTTTCAAGTAAACAAACTCAACATATTTGACCAACTTAAAACAATGACAACGCAAACTAATAAACATTGATTTTGGTAAACATAAAATGATGTGGTTTGTTAGGGATTTAAGCCAGAAGTGCACCCCTAGTCAGGACATTATAGTACGTGTAATAATGTTTAGTGTTAGAATTATAGTTTGTGTGTTATTAGATATTAGTTATTACATTAACATGTTAGATGAAGTGAATGCAATTTCAATCAAACACAATTCATAGTCATTTAAATTATATAAACACTGTACACATTAACATTCTGTCACAATGTGATGTTAAAACCTGGGGACGGATGCCAATTGCCGTTCTTTATGGATTTCTCCCAATTTTATCCCCAAAGAGGGTTTTTTGGGAGTTTTTTCTCCTGTCAGGTAATAAAATGAACAACTTAATGCGAGGCAGCCGACTGAGGCAAATGTCTTGAGAATTGAACCACATGAACTGTTTTAGATCTTATGATGAAGTGTGATGAACGGTGATCATTAATGATGGGTTGTTGTAATCAAAGTGTACTAGTTATAAGATGAAGACTTAAACGATGTATGCTTTGTTAAATTCACTCATTGAGGCATAAAGCCAACTGTATCTACATTGAGTGCATTGGAATGTGAGGGACAGCTAGTACAGTGAGGTTTCAGGTTACAGCTGCAGCATCACACCTCGACGTGAAGGGGACAATGGAGGAGGTGACCCTTTGGAGAAGAAGCCAATGACATTCAAATGCACCAAAGAAGACACACCTCAAGAGTTTTCAAAGGACCATGGCGGGGAAAAGACTGTTAGAACTTCTCCTGCAGCCGCGTTGATAAGTCACTTTAGACTTGCTCAGAGGATTCTCTATTTCGCGAAATATTCCACTGTTCGCTTAGTATTTCACTTTGTAATTGTAATCCCTATTACGTTGTTCAGTTATTAAATAACTTTTGATTTTTGAATTTAAACGAATTGACTCATTCGTGTCCTCGTTTCCGGTCGGGACGAGAACAAAGGATTAAGTCCTCCCTCGAGAGCCTTCCGAAACCTTAACAGGTTGTCTAGTTATTTTTTAAATTCGGTGAACTATTTCCAGTGGTTTGAAAACTAAAATTTGAAGTTATAATAATTAAAGAAAATGTAGTGTTAACTGTTAATATTGTAGTTGAGACAAATGATCACTTTAATTTAACAGTTATCAAAAGGTACAAGTAGCAAGTCATCCAACCTTTGACGTTCTGAAAAATGTTGATATTTAAGTTAATCAACTCGAGGTTTTTTGAGATTAAGAAAATGTGTGAGGACAAAACTTTAGAAATAAACTTTGCCTTACAACTTTTCTCTGTTGTTGTTTCAACAGCTCACAGTTTGTGGTAATTTTGTAAAATGTTAAGGTGATTGGTTTTCTGATTATTTTGTGAATGGTTGGACTTTTTCTTATAACTCAGATCTTTAAGTTGTCTGAACTGACTACTCATTGTCAACTATACTCAAGTAATGTTTACTGCAGTTACATGAGTTTCCTAAACATATTTTTTAACAAATTAAAATGAATAAGCTTCTTTACATAGATATTTTAAGGCATTTTTTTTCAAGTAGTCAACTTTATACATTTTTCAGTGTGCAGAGATAATGTAACTTAACTTTCTTAGTAAATAGTGGGGCTATTTTTCAAATCCGTGAGAAAAATTAAAAGATGCACAGCGCTGTCAGACATTACTCCCTCACTCCACCTAATCAGTTCACTCTGTACCTGCTGGTTACATTCACCTTGTCAGCCCAATCGCACTAACCTGTCTCCCTACTCACCCCCTTCAGTATGGAAACCCCAGTCGCACCAACTCGCTGTCAGATCTCTCCGCATTCATGACAGACCTTCCAGCACTTCCTTTAGGACTGATTTCCCGTTGCTGACCCTGCATCTGGCTCCGTACCTCACTCGTTACACACTGTTGATATCAATTATGCATAATGACAGCCTATGTGGGGGAAATATACATTGATGTTACAACAGATCATGAAAAAATAAATAAAGTGCCTGTTGAAATAATAAATTGTTTTTTTTGGAACCGCTATACGACCCAACATTAAACACCTACTGCATCGTCCGAGAGCGTCAGCCCGAATGCAGATGTTCTGAAGAATTTCAGCAAGATTACATACAGGTTACTCCGGAGGAAAACGTATCATCGCGACCGCACCATTGCTACGGTGACAATGGGTGGTGCTGTTACACTACATGTCTGCGCGGTGGCTGGGTGTGTGAGGGGGGCTTATTTTATCAAGTAGGCTACATTCAGTGACAACCCAAAGATACCGATTCAGAGACCGGGCTAAAACGGAATCATGATGGAGGCAGAACCAGAGCTTCATCGTTAACGATCCACGAGAGGAAAACGAAACATACCGCAACGTTTTTTTGAGTGATTAAACCTTCGCTGCAAAGACTTTCTTGTAAAATGGCGTTAAGGAAAATCAAGGAACAATGGCTGGATGCGTGGATTTATGTTTCTCTGCCCCTGCTGATTGTGACTAATTTGGAAGGAATATCTGCTCAAATACGGTATTCCATTCAGGAAGAATTGAAAATAGGCACTGCCGTTGGAAATATGGCAAAAGACCTCGGATTAGATGCTGGGAGACTCGCAGATAGGAATCTGCGTGTTGTGTCAGGAACAAAGCAGGAACTGTTTAAGCTAAATACGGGAGATGGAGTTTTATTAGTGAACCAGAGAATAAATCGAGAGGACCTGTGTGTAAAAACGGTTCCATGCGTCACAAATTTGAAAGCCGTTGTAGAAAATCCCCTCGAGATGCACCAAATAACTGTGGAAATACTCGATGTAAATGACAATTCTCCGAAATTTCCTGATGATAACTACACGTTGGAGGTGCTGGAGTCCGCCGTAGTTGGATCTCGATTTCAAATGGAAGGAGCACACGACATGGATGTTGGTTTGAATGCCTTGCAGTCATATAAGCTCAACCACAACCAGTATTTTCGCCTCGAAACTGAAGAATTTGGGGAGGATGGAAAGGTTCCTTTCTTAATCTTACAGCGACCGTTGGATAGAGAACACGCTGCTCAACACCACCTACTCTTAACAGCTAATGATGGGGGTAAACCTTTAAAATCTGGTACTATTAATGTCACTGTTATTGTGTCTGATATAAATGACAACTCACCAGTGTGTGATAAACAGAAATACACCGTAACAATAAAGGAAAACGTACCGACAGGAACATTCCTGCTGACAGTAAACGCGTCTGACCCAGACGAAGGGGTTAACGGTGAAATCGAATATTCTTTACGGAGTAAACCCGGAAGACTCTCATCTGAACCGTTTGACCTGAATAGCAGAACTGGGAAAATAACGGTGAAAGGAGGTCTTGATTACGAAGCAAAGCAAGTCTATGAGATTAAGATACTGGCTGCAGACAAAGGTGCAGTGTCCCTCTCCACACACTGCAACGTGGTTGTTAAAGTGGAAGACGTGAACGACAATAAACCCGAAATAGAGATCACGTCCCTTTCGAGTCGCATTCCAGAGGATGCACCTCCTGGCACGGTGGTGGCGTTGATGGGTGTGACGGACCTTGACTCGGGTGTGAACGGACAGGTGGCATGCAGTGTGCCTGCACATCTGCCTTTTGACTTAAAGCCGTCCCCCGATGGACAGTCATACTCTTTGGTCACCAAGGACTACCTAGACAAAGAGACAATGCATATGTATGAAATCACAATAACAGCTAAGGATTTAGGAAATCCAGCGCTGTCATCAACCAAGGTGATACAGGTAAATGTGTTGGATGTTAATGATAATTCTCCCTTGTTCACTGAAAGCCCTTATACTTTTTATGTACCTGAAAACAATAAGGCTGGGATGTCAATATTTTCAGTAAGAGCAGAAGATGTCGATGGAGGCGAAAATGCTGCAGTCATGTATTCTCTCGACCGCAAGAGTTCGTCACCCACCATTACATCATTTTTAAATATCAATGAAGCCAATGGCACAATTTTAGCTCTAAAAGGTTTTGACTTTGAAACCCTGAAAACGTTCCAGTTTCAAGTTGTCGCCACAGATTCTGGGACTCCATCACTGAGCAGCAACGTCACGGTGCACGTGTTCATTCTGGATCAGAACGACAACGCTCCGATCATCTTGTATCCTCTCAGCTCTAACGGTTCTGCTGAAGGTGTGGAGGAGATTCCCCGCAATGTGAACGCAGGACACTTGGTGACTAAAGTCAGAGCCTATGACGCTGATATAGGATATAACGGCTGGTTACTGTTTTCACTGCAGGAAGTTACTGACCACAGTCTCTTTGGGTTGGACCGCTATACAGGACAGATCAGAACACTTCGCTCGTTCACAGAGACGGACGAGGCTGAGCATAAACTGGTCATACTGGTGAAAGACAACGGGAACGTTTCACTCTCAGCAACAGCTACTGTGATTGTCAAAGTTGTGGAGCCCAAAGAGGCTTTTGCTGCTTCGGATGTTAAAAGTGCAACAAATGACGAGGAGGAGAATAACGTGACTTTTTACCTGATGATAACTTTGGGCTCAGTTTCAACACTTTTTCTCATCAGTATCATCGTGCTGATTGCAATGCAGTGCTCTAAATCCACAGAGTATACTTCTAAATATCTACAAGAGACCAATTATGACGGGACACTTTGTCACAGCATCCAGTACAGATCTGGAGAGAAGCGCTACATGTTAGTTGGACCCAGAATGAGTATAGGATCTACCATCGTCCCGGGAAGCCATGCGAATACACTGATGCTCCCTGACAGGAGATCAGCTACTGCGGAGGTAAGATATATGTAACTGCAACCTTGTTTTAATTGTACAATGATTTTATACACTTATATCTCTTTTTCTCATTTAATCATTTAATTATTTTTTTCAATTGTCTTTTCGTTTGAGTTGTCGAATTTATTGAGATGTTTACTTTTGCAGGTGAGGTTTTATTTTTCTCTGTCTAGTGGTGCGTCTTATAATTTTCGGCAGGTGCGTCTGTCGTAATTATCTGCAGGTGCGCTGCATCTCCCCTTTAAAAGCCCGGTGTTGTAGATCGACAGGAGGTTGGTGCAGCATGAAGAGAGGTGGACAGATGCATTTTATGGTCAAGTCTTTTAAACGGGTGTTGACCCTATGAGTTTTACAAATCCTTCCGCCATTTGGCCTTTTAATCGGTAAGCGCCTCGTCGTCGCGACGAATTGCACTAGTTGTTGCAATAACTATCCCCGTTTTGGCCTTATTTGGGTTCCAATTTTAATTTGTCTTGTTTCTAAGTAAAGGTGCATCTCTTTTAACGGGATAACGTTTACATTCCGTCTTTTATGTTGAGGTTGACTGTTTTTAACTTGTGTAATAAATTCTCTTGCTTTTAAACACATCGGGTTTGTCGCACGCACACACCACCTCGCCACTTTAGCATGTTTTTAGCGTCATTCTTTGTCACAACATTGCTTGGACATAGCCAGGATGAAGAAGTAGACACCTGTTTTGTGGTGGCGTGAATTTGTGATCTGTGGTTCTCAAATATTTATTTTTGTGAGGGTGACTTTTTTTTTTTTTTTTTTTTTTTTTTTTTTTTTTTGAATAAATGATTCTCGAACAAATGCAAAAAAGGCTTCCAACCTTTTTTTTTTTTAAATTTAAACTTTTTATTCAACAAAATTGAGCCGTTTTCAGGTTTAAAATATGCATCTAAACGCGTGTCACACGCTTGTCATGGCACTGAGAAACATGCCATGGATGAGGAAGACCGACGCATCCACGTGAAGGGAGATTTTACAGTAGTTGATCACGTGTTCTACGTTCTGTATTAATCGCAGCATACTGTCAGGCACGCTTTGCAATCTATGTAAAGTGCGAAGTATTTGGGATTTCGTTGTTGTTGCTCAACGGTCACATGGTGTCAGTGTCACCTAAATAGTTGCTGTGTGGCTAATTCGGTAGAGGCCCTGCCCATCTCTGGATCATATCTTATGGAGGAAGTACGCTGACGGAGTACACATCGGTGTTGGATCGAGTAATATGAACAGCGGTATATTTTGTTAACGAAAATAGAGGATCTTAAAATGGATTTTATTGGTTTGCTTCGTTGAGCAATTGTTTCAATAAATTACCCATACGATTTTTTTTGCTTCACAATGGGAGATCGAAGACAAAGGCGCCGAGTGAGCGGCTGGTGGGTTGCCGGGATTTTGTTGCAGTGGTGCGGGGAAAATGTTTTTGCTCAGCTTCGATACTCCGTTCCAGAGGAAATACAAGTCGGATCCCCTGTCGGAAATGTTGCCAAGGATTTGGGGCTTGACATCAGCACTTTGACGGGGAGACGGTTTCGTATTGTGTCGGGCCCCAACCATGCTCTGTTTCACTTGAATCAAAACAACGGAGTGTTGTCTATTGGAAATATCGTGGACCGCGAAGAGCTCTGTGATGGAATTAAGGTTTGTTTGATAAACCTGAAAATTGTTGTTGAAAGCCCACTGGAAATACATTACGTTGGCGTTGAAATATTGGATGTTAATGACCATTCTCCGGTTTTTCCCGAAAGCGAGCAGCAACTGGAAATAGCAGAGCATACTCCTCCAGGTACTCGTTTCCAAATTCATGCAGCTAGAGACCCTGATATAGGTCCACAGTCCGTTCAATTGTATAAGTTGAACCCAAATGATCTTTTCGATACTGAAATCAGAGACAGCGAGGAGGACAAAATACCATTTTTAGTGCTGAAAAGGCCCTTAGACAGAGAGCAAAAGTCAGAGCACCATTTAGTGTTAATGGCTCTTGATGGAGGAAGTCCGTCAAAATCTGGGAGCCTTAATTTGACTATAACTGTGCTGGATGCAAATGATAACCGCCCCGTGTTCAGCAGAGACATTTACACTGTTTCATTAGATGAAAATTCCCCAATAGGAACTCTTGTAATACAATTAAACGCAACAGATTTGGACGAAGGTTTGAACAGTGAAATTGAATACACATTTGGAAAAACACAGAAGAAAAAGGTGCAGGACACATTCGAATTAGACAGCCTCACGGGTGAGATTCGAGTGAAAGGAAAAGTGGACTTTGAGGAAATTGAGATTTATAGATTGGATCTGCAGGCATCTGATAAAGGCCATCCACCTTGGACAGCCGAAAGTAGAGTTGTGATAAAAATAAAAGATTTGAATGATAACCAGCCAGAAATTGAAGTAACATCATTGTCCAAAGTCGTCCCAGAAGATTCAAAACCTGGCACAGTTATATCCCTTATTAGTGTAATGGACAAAGACTCTGGATTAAATGGGAAAGTGATTTGTAAAATATTGGACGATGTCCCGTTCGACTTGACACCATCCATTGAGGAAAACATGTACTCACTTGTCACAAAGGGGCATTTGGACAGAGAAAGTGTATCCCATTATGATATCACAATAACAGCTAATGACTGTGGTGATCCTTCTCTCTCCATCGTAAAATCCTTGAGCATTGAGGTGTCAGATGTAAATGACAATAGACCAGTGTTTAGTCAGAATCCAGTTGAACTGTATTTGGTAGAAAACAATTACCCGGGCGAATCAATAATTTCCGTCAGTGCTGCTGATAGCGATCTGAATGAAAATGCAGCAATCGCATACCACATTGTGAGAAGCAGTGGGGTACATCGTGAAGTGACATCTTTCCTGAATGTAAATTCAGAATACGGACGTATTACCGCACTAAAAGGTTTTGACTTTGAAACCCAGAAAACGTTCCAGTTCCAAGTTGTCGCCACAGATTCTGGGACTCCGTCACTGAGCAGCAACGTCACGGTGCACGTGTTCATTCTGGATCAGAACGACAACGCTCCGATCATCTTGTATCCTCTCAGCTCTAACGGTTCTGCTGAAGGTGTGGAGGAGATTCCCCGCAATGTGAACGCAGGACACTTGGTGACTAAAGTCAGAGCCTATGACGCTGATATAGGATATAACGGCTGGTTACTGTTTTCACTGCAGGAAGTTACTGACCACAGTCTCTTCGGGTTGGACCGCTATACAGGACAGATCAGAACACTTCGCTCGTTCACAGAGACGGACGAGGCTGAGCATAAACTGGTCATACTGGTGAAAGACAACGGGAACGTTTCACTCTCAGCAACAGCTACTGTGATTGTCAAAGTTGTGGAGCCCAAAGAGGCTTTTGCTGCTTCTGATGTTAAAAGTGCAACAAATGACGAGGAGGATAATAACGTGACTTTTTACCTGATGATAACTTTGGGCTCAGTTTCAACGCTTTTTCTCATCAGTATCATCGTGCTGATTGCAATGCAGTGCTCTAAATCCACAGAGTATACTTCTAAATATCTACAAGAGACCAATTATGACGGAACACTGTGTCACAGCATCCAGTACAGATCTGGAGAGAAACGCTACATGTTAGTTGGACCCAGAATGAGTATAGGATCTACTATAGTCCCGGGGAGCCATGCAAACACACTGATGCTCCCTGACAGGAGACAGGCCCCTGGAGAGGTAAGATCTTAAAAGTATTCCCTACAAATGCAGCTCTTTCCTTGGTTGCGACCGCTCTCCAAGGTGCTGAAACATGTCAATATATATATTTCACTTCGTCACTTCGTTGTTGTTGACTTTTGCCGTTGCTGAGATTTTGTGAAATTCTTACAAGTAAGAGATTGAAAGGCATTACGTTGGTGGTGTTTGTGTTGATTTATGTCTTATGGTTTTATTGTTCATATCAAAACATTATTGAAAGAATGAAATATTTGATCAGTTCCTGAATCATCTTCTCTATTTGTTTTCAACTACAATACTATTAGAGCAACACAACCATATTTGAGGTCACCTTGTTTGAGTGGTAGTGGTTCCTTCTTAAGTCAAACAAACTCTGGACACTTATGTCTGTAGACTGTGCACTCATTTTAAAGGTTCTGCCTACGGATTGGGGCAAAGGTAATCCTTGACTCTATCTTTATGGAATTCTTTTAATAACCTCTTGGTGTCACTGTAACATTGGGACATTTTTGGAGACGTTGTACCTCCCCTGGACAATCTTTTGTCTGCCATTCATACAGCAGGGCATTTATTTGAACGGAGAACCTGAACCGGTGGATTCACAATGTGCATTTTGTAATAATTTGATCGAAAACGGATTGGATATATACATTTTTTTTGTCGCAGTAGAATCTTTATAACGTGTTTTTTTATTTTATGTTAATGATGGAGTCCGAAAAAAAAGGTCGAAAGAGGGAGTTTTATGTATTTGTTTTTCCAATGGCTCTATTGCTTTTCGCCGGAAAGTCGGCTTTTGCGCAGATTAGATACTCTGTTCCAGAGGAGGCAAAAGAAGGAACTGCTGTTGGGAATGTAGCAAAGGATCTTGGCATTGAAATTACATCATTATCCGAACGACGGTTCCGTGTTGTTTCTGGATCAAAGGAGGTATTTTTTGAGGTAAATCAAGAAAACGGGGCTCTGTATGTCCACAGTAAAATCGACAGAGAGGATCTCTGTCGCGGCGATGGTGCATGTCTAATTGAACTGAAAATACTCGTCGAAACCCCCTTGGAAATGCATTACGTGGTTGTAGAAATTACAGATGTCAACGATCACTTTCCATGGTTCCCCGAAAATGAACAACAATTTGAAATAGGGGAACAAACCTTACCAGGGAGGCGATTTCAACTACACGCCGCTCGCGATCCCGATGCTGGAATTAACTCAATCCGCACATACACTTTGACATCCAACGATTATTTTGAAGTAGATGTTCGTCAAAGCGATGAGGATAAAATACCATTTTTAGTGCTGAAGAAATCATTAGACAGAGAACAAAAGAACAATCA